CCCGACTGACTGCCCCTGGGTCTCCGAGGATGGTTATTAGTCCGAAACTAACTTTTTCATAAAAACTAACCGACCTAACCGCGATCTAAGAGGGTTTCTGACGGTATTTTCAGCATGCAAAAGACAATTTTCGGGTTTACCTCGGTGTGAAACTGGCCTGTGAACTTTTTCATTGCTTGGCACCTTTTGTTTTTTTAGGTTCTATTGCGTTAACTTCTTTGTTTTCTTTTTTTTTTTACGTCACTTGTGAGTTTAAAGGTTCTTAAACCGAGAATGAACCCAATTTTCCGCGAGTAGTTCCAGTCGTTTGAAGTAGATCAGTTTGTGTTCTCAGTTCCTGGGTAACCGATACACCTATTTTGAAAAAGCTCTTTCGAGTTTTTTAGTACTCGCTAATACGGCTTCAAAATGGCTCAAGAATTAAATTAAAGCAGACATTAAAACACACAATACAAACACTAGGTGAGTCAATTTTACTGATTTCAAACCTTTTACAAAGGCAGAACTTAACGTGCTTTGTTTATACAGACCCTTTTTGTTTCTTGTAAAACGCAAATTGATAGGAAAGAATAGACCTTACTTGATTCAAACGAAATTTAGCTTTTTGGTCCCTTCCATTAGGCGCTGTTTAGATGATACCGGAATGACTTTCATTCCGGAATGGGTTTCGTTCCAGAGTAAACCCTGACCCTGCTAACAGAGTTGCTTCTAGGAAAGATCGATCTGCTAGCAGGGTAAGTTCGTACTGCATTCACATGATAAAATCGAGCGGCTCAGCCTAAGGCATTTAATCGGCTCCTGTCTCACATGGTTTTCTTCCTTCAATCCGAAACTTGTTTTCAGTTTACGTGATATACCAGAATGAAATTTCGTACCCGAACGAGGCTGGAATTTCATTCCGATTGAAAACCGGAATGCAATCATTCCCGATTGAGTTGTACGGAACGAAATTTCGTTTTGATGCATGTAAACGAAAAAGAGAAACAATTGGAGATCAGATGAACTCGTTCCACAATGACAGTCACTCGCGTATAATGCGAATAGCCCATGAATAAGTTTGTGGCTTTCAGAAATCAGTGCTTTGAGGCGTTCTTGGTTTGGATTAAGGCTCAAAAAGCTTAAAGATGTTCTCCCGATTACTAAAAACGTTTCCTTTTATGAATCTTTGGCGCAAAATTTTTGTCTCCCCTCGCCCAACGTCTTTGATTTTTGGTTTATTTTTTATATACGACTTTATTGGAATAATAAATTTCTGGAACTGCATCAAACCCAGCCAAACCCTTAATCTGAGCCTGTAATTACTCTAGGTGGGACAAAGTTTACAAAAAAGCATCAATGGAATAACTTTCTTCCTTTGTTCTGTTTTATGAATAAATTTACAATTTTTTTCCAAGGCCAACAATCATGGTGAACGCTGGCTTTTGTGGCCCATCAAATGGTCCTTTAAACCTCTCTTCACATTGTCTGCTTATTCCATGAAGTGGTATGTCGCGAGAACTGTTTCTACTTTACGGGATTTCAAATCGTCTACCAGCTTTTTCAATTTTCATAAAATTTCATCATTCTACACATCAATTTTGCAGTGTGGATGCTCAAATTCGCACTATCACCAGCTAATCTACAAGCTAATTATAAACGTGCCCACTCCTGGGATAGTACTATCGCCCGGGGGGGGGGGGGGGGGGGGGGTACTTCCTCATTAGAGGCTAAGGGGATGTGCCGCTGGATGGGGTCGCATTTTCACGACTGGGTTGACTATCATGGGGTAGCATTTTCAATAGAGTTACTAGAATGGGGTCGCAGATTTTAGGATTTTTGAGGCAAGAAAGTTCTTCATATTTTCGGTTAGCAGACGTACCAGAATGTTTGTACTGTAGGTGAAAAGTAAAGTGCTCTTCATTCAGTTCAAAAAATGGGTCAATTATTTTATTATGACCCATTTAAAGGATTGATAAGGTAGATACATAAATAGAAAGTGACTCAGTTTGGGATCGCGAAAATTACATTCGCCGAAAAATGAAAAAGATGGGTCTTTAATTGGTCAAAGAATAGACCATAATGGGGTAGGGGCCCTGAGGGGCCAGCGGCACATACCCAGCAAAAATTAATCCACGTACACCCTTTCCCCCGCCCCCCCCGGGCAGTATCGATGGCTTTACAGTTTTTTGTCGAGACCCTAAAGAAATAACTTATTAATAAATAACATGGCTAATGTCTGCCACTTCGAAGCTGGTTGTACTTCCCTCTTAGGGAAATGAAGGAGGCGGTGCAGAGGGAAGTTGGTAGTTATTAACAAATGGGTACATTGGTGTAAAGCTGGTATCACCCAGCATCTTTTTATCGCCCTCGTCATCGATTGACGCTCCACCGCTAACACACTCTGCGTACGAAGGAGGAGCTGAAATAAAAAACAAGTGATGTTTCAAAAGCAAAACCTTAGGTCGAAGAGTTCTGGAGCCAGTTTTTTTCTTTCTTTTTATAAATTGACCCCCGTGAAACCGGGTCCAAGCTTTTCTTCCCCTTGGGCAATTTATTGGCGTGTAACCGAAAACAGCAAAGTGATCAGATCCCAGAGCGAGCCCAACCCGCTTTGGGGGCAAGGTCCAGTGTAAGGACACCAAAGGCTAGTGTAACCCTACTGGTAGCCGTAATTTTTGTGAGGGTGGGTGGGCGGGTGGAATTAATTTCGGAATACTACAGTAGTCACGATACAAAATGTTTCTTACCAATATTTGGATAATTCTGCGTAGGGTCACTATACTGTGTAGCGGCTGGTGGATACGCTGATGCTGCGTCAAATCCCGCCAGTGGTGGGGCACTAGGAGTCAAAGCAGCACCTGGGGGTGGGTATTGGGCTGGATGAAGGGGCGGCCGATATGTGACTTTCATTCCGGAATGGGTTTCGTTCCAGAGTAAACCCTGACCCTGCTAACAGAGTTGCTTCTAGGAAAGATCGATCTGCTAGCAGGGTAAGTTCGTACTGCATTCACATGATAAAATCGAGCGGCTCACCCTAAGGCATTTAATCGGCTCCTGTCTCACATGGTTTTCTTCCTTCAATCCGAAACTTGTTTTCAGTTTACGTGATATACCAGAATGAAATTTCGTACCCGAACGAGGCTGGAATTTCATTCGGATTGAAAACCGGAATGCAATCATTCCCGATTGAGTTGTACGGAACGAAATTTCGTTTTGATGCATGTAAACGAAAAAGAGAAACAATTGGAGATGAGATGAACTCGTTCCACAATGACAGTCACTCGCGTATAATGCGAATAGCCCATGAATAAGTTTGTGGCTTTCAGAAATCAGTGCTTTGAGGCGTTCTTGGTTTGGATTAAGGCTCAAAAAGCTTAAAGATGTTCTCCCGATTACTAAAAACGTTTCCTTTTATGAATCTTTGGCGCAAAATTTTTGTCTCCCCTCGCCCAACGTCTTTGATTTTTGGTTTATTTTTTATATACGACTTTATTGGAATAATAAATTTCTGGAACTGCATCAAACCCAGCCAAACCCTTAATCTGAGCCTGTAATTACTCTAGGTGGGACAAAGTTTACAAAAAAGCATCAATGGAATAACTTTCTTCCTTTGTTCTGTTTTATGAATAAATTTACAATTTTTTTCCAAGGCCAACAATCATGGTGAACGCTGGCTTTTGTGGCCCATCAAATGGTCCTTTAAACCTCTCTTCACATTGTCTGCTTATTCCATGAAGTGGTATGTCGCGAGAACTGTTTCTACTTTACGGGATTTCAAATCGTCTACCAGCTTTTTCAATTTTCATAAAATTTCATCATTCTACACATCAATTTTGCAGTGTGGATGCGCAAATTCGCACTATCACCAGCTAATCTACAAGCTAATTATAAACGTGCCCACTCCTGGGATAGTACTATCGCCCGGGCGGGGAGGGGGGGGGGGGGACCTTCCTCATTAGAGGCTAAGGGGTGGGGCCGCTGGATGGGGCCGCATTTTACCGACGGGGTGGCCTATATTGGGCACGAATTTCCAATAGAGTACAAAAATGGGGGTGGGGGATTTTAGGATATTCGAGGAAAAAAAGTTCTTAATATTTGCGGTTGGA